AAAACACAGTGATTTCGACGCCGGAGTTAAGAACTGGACAAGCGCAGCGATTTGGACGCCACATTGTCAGGACCTGGAAAGCGCGATGATTTGGGCGGAAGAGAAGATTGACCTTCATATGTCAAGTGTTAGTGTTCCTTGACAGCGGGTGCAAAGACATAGGCACAGACGCAAAAGACACAAGTGTACCGTACCAAGGAGACACACACTCTTCAACAGCAAGCAGCATATGCAATGGGCAAAGATGTTTGAGAACAAGGTGAAGGCGATATGTTAAACCAATATTTCTGGCATGGGGAGGTGTACAAATCCAAACAGTTGAGACAGTACTGGGTTTCTGACGTGTTGGGAGAAACAAATGACACGAACGTGTCATTTGTTTCTCCCAACACGTCAAAACCCAGTACCGTAGGTGGACGAATTATTCAAACCCTTGCAGACTTCACCCCCCTACCCCCCATAGTTCAATGTTGGCCTGTTGGTGAAGGAGGTTGGCTTGAGTGGACGAATCAAATCAAACCCCTGACAACAAAACATCTTTTCACTGAGACAACATTGAAATCGGGGGTGCGGGGGTGGTGGTCTGCTATGGTGGTTTAGGGTTTGATTAATTTGTCCATCTACTGTAGTAAAATCCCTGAAATATCATGTGCTCATCTCTGCCCTACCATGAAAGCACCCCAAAGAACACCAACCCAACTGCGCCACAGGATCCAAGTCATCAAGCTGCGCCTGCTTGCGATGCGGGGGTCGTCGGGCCTCTCGGCCACCGTTAAGCCTGAAGCGAGCAAATCAAGGTCGTCACCGTCGAGCAAAATGTCTCCTGCGACTTCGACTTGTAGAGCCCTCTTCGACTTGTGGAGCCCTTCAAGGGCCTTCCCGGGTGAACAAAAGATAGTTCTCCAGACAGACCAACTGCTACCAACAAGCAGTTGGTCAAAAGAAACAAGCACACCAACATACAGTGTTGGCAAGTCACGGATCATAATTTGAAGGTGTTCTTAAAAAGGAAATGCAAATCAGGACCGTTCAGATTCGTGAGCTGCTCAACCCTCATTCATCAAGCTCCAAGCTCCTGTGATCCAGTTGATAGGCTTCGTCATTTGCGTGACCAGTCTTGTTGAGAGAATCCCAGGCGCAAGCACCATGGCTCTGGACCCCACAGACCTGCCAATATGTTTGAAGAGTTCCAGCGCAGTTGGTGCATCAGGACCACAAGCATCCACCTCTTCATTGGGAGGGGTGGAGCCTGATGGATAGTCTAACTGTCCAAGTTCCAGAAGAAGTTGGGCCATATCTCTCACATGGATTGGCTGAAATCGTTGTTGCCCATCACCCGCCAGCAAAAAGAGTGGACTTCGCCGCAAAACCCAGGCGGCGTTATTCATCAAAATCGACTCCTGCGCCGTGTCCCCGAAGATGCCACAAGGCCGCGCTACGGCGTAGGACACGTCCAAGCTCCGGAGCGCCTCGACTGCTTGGGCCTTGCCAGCGATGTAGCTGAAGGGCGAATCCACTGTGGAGTGCGTGTGCGAGGTGAACACGATGCGCTGCACACCAGCTTGCCGAGCCACTTCGAAGAGACGAGCACAGCGCTGGGCGGCGGCGGCGAAGGTGTCGCCGCGCTCGAAGCGGATCCAATAGGTGCACCAAAGAACGGAAGAGCCTTCCAAAGCCTTTCCCAAAAGCCTGGTTGGAGTTACACAAACTAAAACTATCTGCCCAATGGCCAAGCAGTGAATTGAGATGATCATTCCCCAAATCTAGATGGACAAACTCAAAATCATTCAAACCCAAGAGCAGTTCGTTGGAAAAATCCAAGGGATAGGTGCTGATCCTCTGCGCTTCTTCACTGCTGAGGCCGGATGATGCAATGGGTGTGGAACGACTCGAAAGATTCACCACGGAATGGCCTTTCTCCAGCAGAAGCTTCGATAAATAGCGTCCCGTGTAGCTGAACGCACCTGTCACAGCCACCCGCTTCATGGCTCTGCGGAGTGATGAATGTGGTTACTCCGGCGAAGTTTATCATGGAACGTGGCTCCAACTCTCAGTGCTCATTAACATGGCCCACCTGCTCGTTAGAAGTCCCGGGGAATATGGAAAGCACCGGTATGAGAGGAAAAGGTGATTCCGGAGACTAACGTAGAACACAAGGCCGGAATGAAGATTGGTGCACTAGAAATGCAGCACCCTTGAGATGCTAATAGATGCTAACATGGAATACGTCAGAAGTAGCCAAGATCCAGGGAATCCAGTATCTGGAAATGATCCATGTTAGCCTCACCGTGTTCCATGCACCTGCCAAACTCAGTGTGTCCACACTAACATGGCCCGCTCCCGGGACTGTTTCACAAATAGGGCACCTCACACTAACATGCCACATGAACAATGATCGGCTGGCCTTTTTCATTTCCCGGAATGCTGTATGTCTTTGTTCTCTTCGTTCTGGTGGCTGATGGTTCATACTGTGTGACAGGAAATGCAGTATGCAAACAATTTGGAACCAAATGATCTTTTTTGCAATGATCAGCCACCACGTGGACCTTAGCTTAGCTGTCAACTGAAACCTTGCCCTGAGTCCAAGGAAAAGTAACATACTGTACTGTAGTTTACTGTAGTGCTTAAATGAACCAAAGGACAAATTGCTCCACTAGAACCTTAACCTAGAACACAAAACTCAGGCGACCAGGCAGCGACACTAACATAGCATGTGCAAGATCGAACCAAAAACCTTCCACTCTGATCCATGTTAGTCTCAATGTGCAACATACACCAGGGAAATTCTCCAAGCATGTTTCCCCCAGTGTGTCCATACTAACATGGCCCGCTCTCAGGGCTGTTTCACAAATAGGGCACCTCACGCTAACATACCACACAGATTTTTTTTTTATTTTGATGATGTTAAACTTCGCGGGTGTATGCCCTAGGGATCCAGCCGTACCTTCTTCTCAGAAGGTGCTTGGACCCTCCAAACCTACATAACAGTGTCTCCAATCACCGTACCTGATCCCTAGGGATGGTGTGATTGACTGGGTTATTGCATTGGACTCCAATTGGACACGATGCTGGACGTGAAGTTCCGAAAACATGTCTGCTCACGGACCTTCTTGTTGCCAGCCAACAAGTTACTTTAATAACTTGTGCATATCACCGCACTGTGAGGCATGAGTGGTACTAGTAGCCTTCACCTCGCAACCAACCTGATTGCCAATTCATTGCCGAGGTCTAAATTGATGGATGCTAATTACCGGATTCATCCAGTGTTGCCTGTTTTTTGCCGTCCCTCACCAGCTTCTAGGGGCCAAACCATACGTGTTCACCAGTTTGTGATGGTGATATGTCGAAAAAGCACCCGTTCACGCGACGCAGGATACATCTGCACCCCCAGCATGGAACCAAACGCGGGTTGGAATGCTGAGCTGACAGGCAAATATCGGCACCACCTGCTGACAGGTAATGACATATGATCCATCTGTGGACATATGTGGCCTTTGTTGTGGAAACCATAGCTCAGGGAGACCTCCCAAACAACTCCTGGAAAAAGCACAAAAATAGACTCAAATAGACCAAACCCTATGTTGGAGTTCTCTGTCTTTATGGTTTGCAGATGTGTGCATCCATTGCAATATTCGTGCAACACCCCTGCTTTGCCCTCCTGTCTGACAGGTTGCTGCTTACATTCAACATTCATTCCTCTGCCTCTTCAACTCTACAGTCGGCTTCTAAAATTTGCACTGGACGTGCCAGCATAATCTCCATCAACTATGCTTGTAGCGGTAAGGCTGTAAGGTAACTTGCAGACTAAGCTCTTACATGACCATGCCTTCTAAGGACGCTACTACGGGCTCCTGGCATCGCTACTAGGAGCAAGGACGCTAGTGAAGTTTAAACCCTTTTGGTCCAGGGAGCATCCCGAGACCGCCACCCTTCCTGGTCTGGGCCTCCGTGCTCCGCCTTCCTTCGTTTGGTCTCACTCTCACGCACTGCCACCTGGACGCTGGAAGGTGTCACTGGAAGGTTCAGGATCCACGCAACATGACTCACTTATGCTTGAAGGTCTCCCCGCAACGTGACTGAAATACTCTGAAATGTTCATTGAATGTTGTTGATATCGGAGGAGCCTGATACAAACCCAGGAGCCTTATCCGACCAAGCAAACACTTCAAAGGCCCAAAGGCTCCGGCGATCGGCGGCAAGGGCGGAAAGACCTCAGATTTGGTGCCTGGATCCATCATGATCCATCCTTTTGTAATTTTTTGTTGCCAACTGCTGCACTCCAAAGTGTTCTACTCCAATAGGCCATTGCATGCCAATTGCCCCATCCAGAACTCAAGAATCTCCCAACATCTCGTAAAGAGCCACATTCTGTTAAGATTCCAATCATGAGGGGAACACAATTAGTGAGAGTCGTTCCTCAAGCACCCAAATATGTAAACAAATCCCGGAAGCTCCTGGTGGAGAAAGGCAGTGATCTGAAACAGGAAATGGTGTGTACATGCCTTTGTTCCAGCGTTTGGCTCTGTAGCCAAGTTTGGGCAATGCTGACCTGCCAATGCCATCCAAGCGGCGGGTGCTTCTGCTTTCACTTCAAGTGAAGCCTCCAAACAGTTTGAAAGCGATCATACTATCGCAACAAGTGCTTGGGTACAAGAATCTGTGCAAAAATAATCTTTGGGGGACCTTGGGTGATCTCGGCGGGCTTTGAACCTGGGGTAAATATGGCCAGAAAAAGAACATGATGAGTCAAGGTCATGACATGAGTCATGAGTTTGTTGCCGATCATTCCCGTGGATTCAATGTACTGCAAAATGGGTTGGGATTGGTGTCAACCGATTGTACACCCTCCCCAGTTGATAAGGGAACCTCTCAAAGCCAGCTCTAGGTCCGATTTGGGATGGACCTGCACCGTTGAATGGTCTGAAAATGGTGCAGCAAACATCTACAAATGGCGCAACATTGACGACCACCTGTCTCCTAGGAAAATCCCAAATGATACAACCCATATCTTATTTCAGACACTTTAGCGAAGGAGAGCAAATCAATATATAGATTCAACATGCCAAACAACCCAAAGATCCATCAGCAAACGCAGCCACAACCCAGGCGCCGGTGGCTGCATGAGGTTTTGAAAGCTGCTGTCAAAGTAGGACGCATCCAATTCGACCTGGCCAAAGGGCAAGCAGCCCCAAGATAGCCCAAACTGGGTGGTTTGCGCCATAAAACAAAAACAACGCAGCCAAAGCGATGCAACATATGTATAGATTTCCGTGTCAAAAACGGTTCTTAATACATTGTGCGTGATTGTATGGCATTGGATCCACACATGGACCTCAAGAAATAGCAAGACAAGAACAGCAGGACGGCAGGACTCATTCAAGTCTGTTGGAGATCTACCACAACATGTCAAGAAACACGTTTCCGAAGATCCGAGGCAAGTTACCAAATCCACGCACACGACACCGCAAGTGTCTTCATGGGCCACGAGGGGAAGTGGACGTCGTACTGGACCATTTCGGAACAAAATTATGTGAAACAGACATGAATCATGAACAGAGGCACCATGAAAGAACAAAACACGGTCAGGGAGAACAGCGCAACGCATTGCAGGACTAGTCCTATCATGGTAGGATCATTGCGCCAGCAGCGGCAGGATTGAGACCTCCGATTGGTTCAAGGCATGTTGAATGATATACTGGATATGGATGGATATGGGTATGGGTGTGCAGTGCAGGATGAATGAGGAGACCCCCCAACCAAGACCTCTTGGGACCCGAAGGAACATTGACCAGTCAAACCAACCCACCAAAACCCACTGGGCCCCTACTTAACTTGAACCCCTGTAGGCCCTGTAGCTCGAATTGGCGCACTAAATTTAGTAGAACGATGTGACGCAAAACGCACGCTCGCGAAACTGGCGCGAGTGACGCAAGTGTGAACCCCCCGGGGATGGACGCACCTGCTTGGGCTGCTCCAAGCGATAGAGGATCTCCTGGACCGGGCAGCCGAAGCGCATGTGGCAACATGTCTTCCACCACTGGGCCATGAAAGTCGGGTTTTGAGTTTAAGCGAGGCATAGAAAACAGATGGACAAACATTTAGTCACTTGACCCATCTGCAGAACTCTAACATGGCATCCTGGCACACCCGCTGCTGTCAGTCAGTCAAAACATGTGGGGGGCCTACGTGGGAATTTGTTCGGGCCATGTCATGTTGGCACTACTTTTGTTGAGAGAGGCTATCTTCAAACACAGGTGAACGCTTCCAGTGACAGACTCCAAAACTTGAAGGGCATGAAAGTCTGTCGTGACCGTGTCTTTGGCCCCTTGACATCCTTGACCGATCTTGGCTCAATCTTTTGGACGACCGTTTTTAGGAATTCTTACAGATCTTAAGGGGCGGTGGCCTCAGACTATAGGACATGCCTAAACTAACTTGAGAAAGGGTAGTCTATCTATCTACCCCTCTTACTATCTACCTATTAATTGCCTTTCTGTTTGTTTATCTACCCTGCTATCTAGCAATCTACCAATCTGTATACCTATATTTGTCTATCTATCCGAAGAAGTTGCAGCCACTTAATTCAAAGGACATGTCCTGCACAATATATTTTGTCTACTTAACTGTCTAATTAATGTAACTATAGCTTGTATTATTTGTCTTCGTCTACCTATCCACTTTACTATCTACCTTTATGTTCTATCTATCAACCTATCTATTTATCTATTATATTATCTAGGCATCTATCCATCTAAATACCCATTTGTCTATCTATCTCTCTGTCTACCGATCTCTGTACATAGTTTCCATGGACCTAAGTAAGTAATCTTTCTGAAAAAGCACCCTGGGCACAATTCCTGGTAAAAATACATGTCCGAGGAAACATCTTGAGCTACGGATGATACACTCCGTCGGCATCAACCCATCCGAATCCATTCGGCAGATAGTATCCCATCTGCCGGGCGCATCACGCATACAGCAATGAA